TGAGAACTGACCATTGAATTTAGCAACTTGGAGTTCATTGGTTACCTTGACAAGGGATGAAAATTTTAAGAACAGTAGTGGGGATGATTGCAGTATATTGGAAAGCATGGTCAGCATAATCCTTTTGAGGGAGGGAGTGAGACTAGAGAGAGGAAATTGTAGTCAGAGTGGCATATACGAAATTGGAGCGAGGTGGGGGAAGACTGAAGTTATCAGTGTGACAAGGTCTAGGATGTGACCTGGGAGTTGGTGGCTAAAGGAGACTCGAGACAGGATCAGTGGACACGAGTGGTCCAGGGGCTCGAGAGACCAGCTTGTCTGAAGGATTGCCTGCATATGGAAGGCACCAGGACTTAGGACAGCGATACTGTCGGGAGGTTCAGAGCTGGGTGTTTGTACGGCGGCGTGGAGCATCGTGGTTAGAAGTGGCAGTGGTGTGTCTGTAGGGCGGCGGTGGTCGCAAAGAGAACACTCACCCTTCCTGTGCTCCCGGTGGTATGTGGGCTGTGGGGCATAAAAGAAGAGGGCAGGGCTGCCAGGTAAGAGCTGTCATTAGAGGAGAAGCAAGTTTCCATTGAGGAAGAAGGTAAGAGAATGTCCAAAGAGGAGGCTGAGAATATGTAAGGTGTTTTGCCCACGATGAGCCATGAAGGAATTCCAGAGGGCACGGTCGGGATGGAGATGAGGACAGATGGGGGTGGGCAGAACTTTACAAGCACTGGAGGTAAAGAGTAACTAGTGGTCTAGAGTTCCCTGAGCTGCACAAATACAAGCAAAGGGCCTAATGAGATGAGTTCCAGCGACTCCAAACTAGAAATTCTGGAGAGGCGTGAAGAGGTTGAAGGGATATGGGACAGATTCGTGTCAGGAGTTCCTTCTTAATCCCGTTCGTGGAGACAGGGTGATGTGGGAACCCGGAGTCTCTGTCCTCCTCTTGAACGCCTGTCGATGGCCTGGGGAGACGTGGACTTGGTCCCAGTGCTGCCGTTTGCTCCTTGACCCCCCGTGTTTCCGTCCACTGCCGGGCCTATTTCTTGACTCTGGTTGATGGGATCGAGAACCTCCAGGAAAGCCAGGAATTATGCTGAACGTTTGGACTTCCTTCACCCCCTGATACAGGGTAGAACGCAGAGGACAGATAGAAGGCCTGGGGAGACGTGGCCCTGGTGCCAGTGAGGGGAGCCCATTCTTGATCTATTGAGGGAGGGGGCTTCCCTTGACCCCTTGTGATGAAGTTGAGGCATGGTCAGCCTAACGTGTTTTCTTGCATATTATTAATATTGTAAGTGTTGTACACATAAATGAAGAAATTTTTAGAATTTTTCCCCTTTGCCATATGTTGGTTTTTTAGTTTATCCTTGGGAAATAGGACACGTCTTTGGTTAATAGACATTTGAGGTGCACGAAATGAAATCCTGCAGAAGCAATTCAGATGGAACTGACAGGTACGAGAATGGGGCTCAGCTGCTCCCAGCTTCTTGGTTTGATGACAGTCTTGAAATAAATAATCAGAAACTGGGTGAAATGTTAGCAAATGTCAGTTTAAAGTTTTCACTTGTCAAAACTAAGATTGTCTTATCACCAAACCATTGCAGGACCAAATTATGCTACCTTTTATTCTCCTGTTCATCGGGAAACATTCTTCACTCCTGATTTTTTTATGCTGAACCACGTTAGAGCACTCCGCGGATGGATTTCCGGTCGACACTGCTGTTCGTTCCTGCTCACTCCGTTTAATAGAGAGGACTTGGTTTGGGCAGGAGGCAGTTGTTTGATTCCTGTTTGTGGGTCTCAGTACCTGTCACTGACGGTTCCAAGTTAAACGGTGGGGACCTGTCTCAGTAAAGAGAATTCTTTTCAGCTTTATGAAGAGGTCACTCTCATTGTTTCTGTGCAACGAAGAGAAAATTTTAAAGAGCATCGCAGCTTTATTTGTCTAAGGAGCCATTATGATGTAACTTCTGACCTTTGGAAAGAAGACTGAGGTTCACTTAATTTAGTGCTGAGTTTTCCAGAAGCAATAGCCAATTTATTTTCAACAAAATGAGAATTTATGTTGACTGCTTGTGTCCAGATGCTGTACATGAGCCATGGAGAACGTTAGGGCTGCTCTGGCCAGAGTCTGGGCAGCCCAGCGCAGGGGGATTCGGCAGGGGGAGGGGCACGCAGACTCAGCGGGAGGGTGGGCAGCTGCCCCAAGTCCACCCAGCCCTGGGAGGCCCAGGTTTTAGACTCAGATGTCTTGACCCGTATTTGGCAATGACATTTTATCAAAAGTTCCGCTTCTAAATTTCTATCCGCAAGACGAGAAAAACCTTCTACTTTAATAGCGGTTCTCGTATTGAAAGCTATTTAATCTTAAGAGGTAGGGATGCCGCATTTTTTTGCTGTTGCTTGTTTTTGCTGGATTTTTTTCCTTCTTGAATATGAAGGTCTCTCTGTTCCTTTTTCAGCTAGTCCCTCTTTTCTTCTCGCCATAAATGTGTATAATACTTGGATGGAAAATTAGGACTACAGAAAGGGAGAGTAGGAATTTGAGACCAGGGAGAGAACTAGGCAGTTAGAATTTGCCGTGATCGTATGGCATTGGGTTTCGCGTGGACCCTGACTTCTGTCTCCAAGCATGAAGAGGGATCACGTAAGCCCCAGGGGAGCAAATAGGACATTCTGGAAGAGTGGCAGAGCAGGTGGGAGTCAAGCAGGAACCACCGGATTAAGGGGGCCGGGCACGGCGCACGCCGTCCGCTTCTAGCGTGGGTAGGTGCTCAGCACGGGGCAGAGGCGCGTCCTGAGCCTTGAGCACAGCTGCTGCCCCATGAGCTGTGTGACTCTGGGAGGGGGGCGCCCTCACCGAGCCTCGTCTGTAGAAGCACAGCGATTCCACGTAGACCCGTGGGCTCATGCCTGTGGAGAAGCCGTCAGGACGGCAGGGGTCCAGCTCAGGAAAGTCCACTCCTCTCAGGCTCCCTTCCTTTTCCCGGGGTTCTCTAGGAGTGAGTGCCAGCTCTCAGCTGTCCTCGGAAAAATTGCAGACCGCCGCCTGGTGTAATAGGTCAGCCGCGGGAGGGACTGCTCTGTTCCTGGGCTCCAGTTAAAGCAACCAGCGGGGCCCGCAGCACACTCCAGGCCAGAAAGCTCACACCGTCACCGGCCTGGTGCAGTGTATTGATTAGCTTTTGAGGACGTGATGAAACCAGATAACAAGAATCTGGCCTGTGTTTGCGCGTGGAGGAAGCATTCTGTGCTGAGGAACATCCCAGCGCAGGCCTTTTATCAATGCTTATTCACCCTGCTTAACACGACTCCTTACAGACGCTCAGCTTGCAGCCCGCTTCCGCCTCTGTGCCCGGCACGCCACGCCCACCGCTCACCCCGTCTTCAGCTTCACCGGGGCTCTCAGAACGTGCTCAGGCATCGCCGTCTTGTCCAGACACGGAAGAGGGCGGAGGTGCCCCTTCCTCTGTACCCAGGCACTCAGTTCCTGGAGAGCGAGGGCCCGTGGGGGCCAGGAGAGGGGTGAGACACGGAGGAAGGGCTGTGACGGGGACACACCCAACCCTGGGAGGTGGCAGTGTGCTCTGAGGAAGTGGCAGTTAGGCTAAAGAGTGGGTGGGAGGCGCTTGGAAGGAGAGGGAAGGGGCACATTTCCAGCAGAAGGAGGCGCCATCCCCACAGGCTTGAGGCAGACGGGCTCGCAGCTCCCCGCCTCGGGCCCTTTCCCTCATAGGACCTGCCTCCTTGGGCTGCAGTCAGTGGAGTTGATGATTAGCCTCTGGTGATATTTACCTGAGAAACCAAAGGTGGGAGGAGAGGACCAGGTGCGGGTCGGGTCTCGCCGGTTGTGTCGCCTGTATGTTCCCTGTGAGATTTTAGGCTGGCCTCCCAGCTGTTGTGATCTGCAGTATCCTTGCCTGTAAGATGGGCACGGCAGCCCTGCTTTCTCACCTCAGGAGCTGAGGTGACGGCTGCTCGGAGCTGGTGCAAGGCGACGCCCACAGCATGGATTTTATTACTCACTCCGTGTCGTCCTAGGGTGTTGCTGAGCTGAGCTGATCATTTTCCGTTTTGATTAGAATTTCTTACTTGATTGCATCAAGTTGGAATAATGAGAATGTTTATTTCCAGGACAATCCAAGATAACAAATTCAGGATGATTGTTTCCCTACAAAATTAAGAAGAGGGGGAAAGGGGAGAGCAGGAGAGAGTGTGTGAAAGCCCTCCTCCGATGCTCAGAATAGCATTAGAAACTGGATCATACCCGCCGTGGTCGAGTCATCCAGATTTTCCACAGATTCGTTCCTGTGAAAGGTTATGCCTAGTTCACATCCTTCGTGTGTGTGTGTGTGTGTGTGTGTGTAGCCTGTTTTGCATCGTCTACAGAATGGCCGTGGTGCCAGACCCCCTCCCTCCCGGTGTGTCAGGGATGTTGTGCCTTGGAATACAGCTGTGCCTGTGCTTTGGAAAGATTCCTGGCCTCTGTCCTCACAGACTTGGCCAGGGCTGGTGACTGGACCGCAGGGGCCTTTCCCGCCCCTGTCACACACAGTCCTCCTGCTGGGCAGCCACTCCTGATGGGAACGGGATGGTGCTGGGCAAGTAAAACGTTTCATCCCGTAATGGTGTTACTTTATTGTAAAGTGAACTGCCCACGGGTCACACAGCATTGAGTTGTCTGGTCCGTAGGTTTGTGCCTTCCGTGGACTTTGCATCAGTTGGAAAGAAGCCGTGGCTGTCCTTCCTCCTGTCCCTTGTCCCTCACACGAGCCCAGCCCAGGTTCCGGGTGCACAGGCTGTGATTGTCCACCGCACATGCGTCTCCTCTCAGGCCACAGGCCTCTGTCTTCTCTGTGGGAATTCCTTTCAGTGTTTATCCCTGCCCTTTATTAGTTATCTTTAAGTTTTAGAATTCTTCCTCGAGTATGATTTAAACTCACAGGCAAGTCAGTTTGTCCTAACTGTGTTTTCGTCTTTCTCTGCTTGTTTTGTTTTGTTCGATACAGTGGTGCTGATTACTATGATTATGGACACGGACTCAGTGAAGAGACTTATGATTCCTACGGTGAGTAAATGGCCAGAGTGGAGCCGTAAATAGAAAGGTCATAGAAACAGCTTGAAGATCTTAACTCAGGGGAAATCTCATACAGACCGAAATTGAGACAGCAGCTCCCTCTCGGTTCATCTGTGCTTATCCAGCTATCTTCAGAAGCTCCTTAAGGTTTAAATTTAATTTTTAAAGAGGACTGAAGACTTGCAGAAGATTACAGGAATTCAGATTCTAAACTTAGATTTTCTGTTTGGGATGATTGCCATGTGCTGATTTTCTCACTATTGAACAGTGTGCCAAACGGCAGACACTTGATAGAATGGATCTCTTTGAAGTGTCTTTGCTTCTTGACAGTAAAGAAAATGAAGCAATTGAGACCACAGCCCTACAGTGATTCCACCACCCCCATCTTTATATTTTAATTTATTCGCAATCTCAAATCCTCTAAAAACATTACGGTGAGAATCATTCAGTAAAGGTTACGGAAGCACTGAGCTGGGAAGGAGATGCACCGCTCTCTCAGGCTTACGGGGAGACATCGAAACCCCACTCATTTCAGTGGGAGCTGGCCGAGATGCCGGGGAACCCATGTCCAGAGTCTCAACATGCAGAAGGACGACAGGTTTAATTAAAAGCATTGGCGGCAGCAACTTAACCATACTAAGAAGCTCCTTTGCCACGGGGCAGAGATCAGAGAATGTGAAGCCTCAGTCAGTTGCAAAGCTCTGATGAATGCTTAGTGCCCAGTGCGAGTGAATCAGGATTCTCGTTAAATGGATGTTATGACATTTCTCTGAACATAACTGAAAAACCATTTGCCAGTGTTCCCTTTGAAGTGCATTTTGTTGTATCACCTGCCCCAAGCCTTGATGAGCGCACCTTGGTTTTTTTTGTTGTTGTTAATCGTAACAGACGCTTCAGAGAAATACCTTGGCTTGCTGAATGCTGTCTACTTAAATTGATGCAAGTTAGCTGGAGGGAATGACGTTGATTGCATGTTTGTATCAAATAAGAGGTCATTTTCAGCGTTTTTTCCTTCACAGCTTTTTTAAATTGGTCTCCACGGAGGCATGGCTTTTAAAGCGCAGTGTGTTGCAGCATGGATGTTAACTGCTTGTTGTCAAAGACCCGCAGATCACTCACTGATGGCCCAGAGATGGGGGCTGATTGAATGTCCCCCTGTTACAAATAACATCGTTCGATATGGATTTAGTACTAGGATGAAAGCAATTTGACATTGTCATTGAGATTATTTCATATCCAGGAAGTATTTTTGAGGCATAACTCTCCACCCAGTACAACCTTCATTGACTCTTTGAAGGACCTGTGGAGAACGAGGCATCATTTCCCCCTCCCAAGCTGCCCGTTTCCATTTTGCGCTCCAGTTTGCTCTCCTTTTGCCTTCACAAATTTTTATCTGTGTTTTCTTTGTTTTTGAAGAAGAAATCCAAGTGACCCTTTTCCCATTCTCTTTCCCATCCATAGATGTCTTCACGTTTAGCAAGAGGCAGTTCCATTTGCTGCTTGAGTTTGCATTTGTTAAATGAGTGGCCGAAAGGAATTTCCTGCAAAGTTGGTTGCCATTTAAGATACAAAAATTATTTGTCTTCCCAGGCTGGTAGGTTTTGCTAGTGAGAGGACCATTTTCCATTGTGTTCGTAATTTTTTTTTTTTTTTTAAAGCGAATTCCCTTGGGTTTTTTTAGGACCTCGGGGGATACATACCTTCAATATGGCATCTACCGCTGGTTCAGGGCTAAGTTAGATTCTGAAAAATGAAGCCAGTGGGATCCCTGGCAATGGTCTAACTGTGATTGATCTGACTGACTTTAGGGCAAGAGGAGTGGACAAACTCAAGACACAAGGCACCCTCGGCGAGGACAGCAAAGGGCGTCTACAGAGACCAGCCATACAGCAGATACTGATTGTACTGTCTGATGTTGTGACATAGCCAGTCTCCACCAGTCCTGTATACTGTTCAAAGTAATTGTTTTCTATGAACAATCCCTTTTTAAATAAATCAAAATGCTTAACATCTGAATGGATGGAATTTAAAATTACTTTGTTGAAACATCAACCTGGGCAGAAAAAAGAAAAAAAAAAAGACATGTAAAATTTTGTTATTTCCAGTCTGTATATGAAAAAATAGGTCATCAAAAGGAAAAAAAATAACTTTGATTAACTAGTGTTAAACAAAAAAGATAGGTTTACTAAATATGTTAATCCATCCTTTTAACATAAGCCTCACCTTTCATTTTAAAGGTTTCCATAGAAATTTAGTTATTTTATCTTTCAGCCATATGCTAGTTTTTTTTTTTCTCTTGCCAACATGCGTAAAAAGGGAAGCCAATTACAAGTGCAAATAATGTGGTATTCTTTTGTAACTCAAGTCTTGAAATGTTCTGTAGTGTTAAGCAAAGTCTCCTCTTGCTTGATACTAAATAAACTTTTGAAAGAAATTTTGTGTGTGTGAGCTAACAGTTTCATGTCTCTCTTATTTAAAAAGGCCTTCATAAATAGTCGTAAACAGGGAAAGGATTCATTTAACAACGCTTGTCAAAAAAGGGTCACACTAAACATTGTACAACTTATTTAAAACATGGTATAAAATTAAATGTACCATTATATACTCACCGTAGATTTAAATGCTGTTTAAAGAGTCCAAATGGTATCAAGCTGCTTGAGTGGCACGTTAAAAACTACGCAAAACCAAATCTTGTTTAAAAACTGGTTTTAAAATAACTACTGATTTTCTGAAAAAGATGTGATCAGTTTTCATCTTGTTGAGCGTTTTTTCACTAGTGCAACTTTGGATTTTTTATGAGAATTTTGGTACCTTAATGAACACCTCGCTCCATGCTGGAAGCAATAAGCACAAAGCTTTTAAAGACATTCTGACTTGACTAATTGAGGTCGCACTCGCCAAGGCTGAGGATGTGTAACCCTTAAACGGTCTTCATTTTCAAAGGTAAATAAATCAAATAAGATTTTAATCTCACTTAATTTATCTTAATATAACTAATAAAACCAGGGAGGTTACAACTTAGCAAGTTTCATTATCCATTTTAGAAAGGTTTTAAGATCACCTAAATTCTCATTTTAAAAAGTTTAATTTGTTTTAGTAATCTAAAAAGCCTTAGTTTAGTCAGTTTAATTGGGGCCAATTATTCCCTATTAAACAAATGTAAAACCTCATAACTAGTTGTTTGTAATATACATTCTTTGGTTAGTAATTGAGGGCACTTCTTAAAACTGACAAATATTTAATAAAGTTTTTCTTTAATCATTTGGCTAAGTTTTTTTTTAATTGTAGATTATGTAAAATGTTTGATTTTTATTTCCTGAGGGGTTTCCTTCTCTTTGAGTAAAAAGGTCTTTTCTTTTGTTAGGAAGTGTTGGCCATCTTGGAAAGTGAAAGGAAGGTTGTGTCCGTCCAGCAGACACAGGTGAGTGCCTCTGTTCCAGTCATTTGATGTGCTGCTCTGAAGTCACGCGGAACATTTCCCACACTGTTCCCACCACCAGCACTAGTGACCGTGGCTAACTAACTTCCTGAATGTAAGCAAGTCAGACCCAGGGAGCTCTGCGTAAGCTGCAGAGGTGGGAGGCTCGGCCGGTCACACTGTGTAAGTAACTCTGTTACTTTCCTCAGTAAAAACGTAACAGGCTAGTCGGTAGCATGAAAAGTTTTTCAAAAGTATCAAGTGAAAAAGCAGTTTACCGCTAGCAATACTGTCGTCCCAATTTTATTTTATTTTATTTTATTTTTTAAATTTTATTTATTTATTTAATTTTGACTGTGTTTTGGGTCTTTGTTTCTGTGCAAGGGCTTTCTCTAGTTGCGGCGAGCGGGGGCCGCTCTTCATCGCGGTGCACGGGCCTCTCACTGTCACGGCCTCTCGTTGCGGAGCACAAGCTCCAGACACGCAGGCTCAGTAGTTGTGGCTCACGGGCCTAGTTGCTCTGCAGCATGTGGGATCTTCCCAGACCAAGGCTCGAACCCGTGTCCCCTGCATTGGCAGGCAGATTCTCAACCACTGTGCCACCAGGGAAGCCCCCAATTTTATTTTTAAAAAATAGACTGTATATATTCTCTCTATATATATTCATAGGCAAAATATTACATGGATATGCTGGAAATTTTTGACAGTAATCATCTTAAGCTTGTGAAAGTATGATTTGTGTATGTGTCCTTTTCTACTTTGAGTTTTGCAAAACAGATTATTGCTTTTAATAAGATAAATATGATGAGGTGTATTTTATAAAATTGTTTCATAAAATTTTAAAAATAGGGATCTGTGAAGGAAAGGTGTCCTTAATCAGGTCTCACTTTTTAGATATTCTTGCTTTTTCCTACACCATCAGAAACACTGCTTAGGCCCCGACGTTCCAGAGAAGCTTACTTAAGAGTGTGTGTATCTGAGCCCTGCCCCTCACTGGGTGACGCTGGCCAAGACCCCCTTTGGACTCAGCCCAGGGAGGACCTCGCTCATCTCTCGCAGTTGCTCTGAGCATTAAGTGAGGCAGTGTTGTGAGAGTGTGTTGTAACCTGGAAGGTGATAACAGTAACGCAGAGTTTAATTTGTTGAAGTTGAACATGCATGTTTCGTATGAAGGGGAAATATATGAGCTTTTTTTTTCCTTAATCACCAAAATTAACCTGAGATAATTAAATTACTCTTAGGAAGAAAATAGTTCTCTTCACTCTCATAAGTCAAAATAAGCGTTCTGGTTTTTTTTGTTTCTTTTTTGTTTGTTTGTTTTTGGGGGTTTGGTTTTTTTTTTTTTGGTGCTTCTCTTCTTGTACAGAAAGGGAATGTGGTATGTCACATATTTTTTCAATTCGCGATGTTATATTGAAATTTTTTCACTATTTAATAAATAATTTTTTTTTTTTTTTTTTTAGCAATTGGCATATTGAATAGTAAGTGTAGGTTTCTTTAATCAGAAAGTTTGGACAGGTCCCTGGAGGGTAAATCCCCAGATAGTCTTCAGAGCTAATTCATGGGACTTGTTCAATGTTATGTTTATTTTCATTTTATTAAATAATCCACAGCTCCATTGGACTGTAAAAAAGGGGTTGTGAGCCAGAAAGGTCAGGAACCACCAGGAATGCTCTTGGACAGGAGCTCTTCCGCTTGGCTTTCTAAGGCTTCCCTTATTCGGCAAATACTCTACTGAGCCTCATTTCTCCCTGTTTCAGTAGGAGGACTTGCAGACAAGCAGCCTTCTCCTGTCCCTGAGCGCACCCTGCATCCTTCCCAGATCTTTCCCCTGGCCTTTGTCTACCCCCCTGGGATTCGTGTATCTTCTCATTTGACAACGTTTACTGAGCGCGAGTTCTTCCCCAGATGCAAAGGTCTATAGGACGTGGACCTTACGCTCAAGTAGTTCAGCATGGATGGAGGTGGTAGAGGACATACCAGCACTTGCTGCCCCTGGGCCTTTGCCCCTAGAAACCATGCCCATCCTTCAGGACTCGGCCCCACACCCTCCCTTCCGTGTCTTTAGCAGTGAAACCACGATCCCTCCTTGCTCTCTGAAATAGTGTGCTTGGTTTATACTTCTGCGTTTTAGTATTGATACCATATGACTTAGATTGGTTATAAGTTGCCATTATGACCAAGTCTGTGCTTAATCGCTTTCTGTAAATGACTTCATTGAATCCTCACAACGCTAAGAAGGTGCGTGTCATCTCCATTTTGCGGAGGAGGATGCTTAGGCTTCAAGGGGTGAGATCACCGTGTGGGACCCCAGGCCCTGTGACTGGTAGAGACAGTTTTGGACCATCCACTCTGATCCAGAGTCTTTGTCCTAACCGTGCCGTTACACTGTCCGCTCTCTGGGCTAGCACTCGCTCTCCCATTAGATTAAAGGCTCCTTGAGGGCAGGGGCTAATTCTTATGTCGCCTTGTATTCCTAGAAGTAAGCCTCACAGCACTGAGTGTTGGCAGACGCCCCTCTGCTTCTGTCCCACCCTGCCCCACATTCCTCCCTGGAGAGATTCTTTGGCTGTAGTTAGGTTCTGAATCTTGCTTTGTTCAAGACATTGCAAGTTGAGTAAGTATCAGCGTTCATGCAGACACGTTGGCTGGGCATCTGCTATGCTGCAGGCAGTGGAGACGCAGTGGTGACAACAGTCTGCTGGCGAAGTGGGCCAGTCAGGCGCCAGTGACTGGGCGGCGACAGATGTAGCGTGGGAGAGACATGGACGCCAGGCGGGGTGGCAGAGGGGGGACGGGTGCCAGCAGGGCTGTAAGGACCAGTAGAAGGCAACCATGTAGGGAAGGTCTTCTTGGGAGCAGTCGTACCCAGCTCTGTCATTTACCAGCTTTGTCACTTAACCTTACTGAACTTCAGTCTCCACTGCAGTTTCCCCATCCATACAGTGGACACAGTCGTGGAATCTAGCTCAGTATAGCTGTGAGGATTAGAAGCATGCCTGGCACAAAGCTAGGTACGTGCTCTTGCTTGTTGCTTTATGCAGATACTTGGATTATAAGAAAACACAGTTATCTAGGAAATTTCGATTGTTTAGGTAATTAGAGAAAGCTGTAGATGATGCTGTCTGTGTGGGCAAAGGGGCACATAATGAAGGATCTTGCAAGTCCTGCTAAGAAGCTTAAATACGGTGAGCCCACGTTGAAATGTAATAAATATCCCCTAGGCAGAGGTGGTGCCTTTTTCAGCCTGTGTTCCAGCAGGAACTTTGTACAGACCTCTGTTTGCACTGGTTATTGATCTGATAGCCAGATGGTGAGAGCCTTAAAAAGGGGGGGGCCTAACCTTTCCATCCTTTTGTTCCATCTCTTAGCACAGGATTTGGCAGCCGAAAGCGTTGAGCAAGAGAGTGACTGTGAAAGAATGACATTGTCGGTGCGATCAATATGATTCGTTAATAGGCCGTGTTAGGAATGGTTAGGAATAGTTCACAGAGACCCAAAAGAAGGAAGAAAAAAAATCACTCATGTAAATAGTAATAGTCTAACTCAAAATTAGACAGTGACTCTAGTCACTGTGTACAGAGAGACAGGTCCCAGAATTTAAAACAGATGATTTGATGAAAAAAATTAAAACGTAGTCAAAAATCTAATAAACCAAATTAAGCTGCTTTACAGGTTATATGTGATAAGTATAAATAATAAAGTTAGTTATTTTATATGCAAATCATATCTACTATTTATAGTGATGTACTATTTATATTGATTTATATTGTAGGAATAGAAAAGAAAAAATCCATCATTATGTTTAAAATAACAAAATCTACTTTATGCTTGATTCTGTTTCCGTCTTTGAGGAAGGCTGTGGAACATTTTAAAATCTGAATTCCATCCTCCGCTTATCTAATGGAAAATCCTTTCCGGTTGAAGCTGATTCTGGATGGGATTCTTGTTCCAGGAATCCGGTTATCTTTCAGGAAGCAGCACCAACTGCTGTGCCTGTTTTTCTCGTCTTAGTGTGAGTCCTTCCGTGGCTCCCAGCGCACCATCCTGGTCCGGCCTGCGCCTCCAGCCGCTCCCCCACCCGCCGTGCCGCTCTCAGCCTTGCTCTGCTGCAGCCTTGCTCTCGAATACCCTTCGCGGTGTTTTGATATCTGTGCCATTGTCTGCCTGAAATCACATTTCCTTACTCTTCTCCCCAGCTCTCGATACAGCTGGTCAGTGTACTGGTCTGTCCAACTTCGGAGTGAGACTTGAAGCGTCACCTCGCTCAGGAAGTCTTCCTTGGCCCAGTGTCTCCACATCTCCCTGGGTGCAGAATCCCTACTGGAGGGCCCTCATCTGCAGAATGGGGTCCTACGATTGACTGTTTACTCTCCTCTCCATCCCCCCCCCCCCCCCCCTCCGAATGTGAACATCTTCAGTGCAGGTACCATGGCTTAGCACAGCCGTCATGTAGGTGGTGAGTGAAATGAACAGGGTGGCGTGGTGTCTCCTGGTGCGGGACAGTGTAGGTTAGGACTTCACCGGCTTCATCGGGTCAAGTTAGAGTCATTCTTCCACTGGAAGAGAACTTACCAGGTTGTTAAATGTTGCTGTTTGCATATGCACGTATGTAAGAGCTCACCCGACCACCACGGCAAGATGCACGCCTTTCCTCACCTCCCCACGTCTGCTCACTGCCACACTTCCTAGCACCTAACAGGCTCTCACAGCACGGAGGTGGAACAGATGAGCGGACGCCGCTGTGGCGGGCGCGGGGCTGGAGGTGCCCTCCTGAAGCCGATCTCTGCTCGCTTGCTGACGCGTTTGTCTTTCTCACCAGCGGCACCACTTCAGGTTCTTTAAAGACGGAACCACGTCTCATTTGACTTTCCGTCCAGATCCCAGCGAGGTGCCTGGCGCAAAGCGGGGGCTGACAGTGCTCACTGAGGGGCGAATGACTGAATGAATTAATGAGCAAACGACGCTGTAATTTTTAAAATACTGGCACTGAGCCCTTCTCA